TAATACTTTATAAATATACGGTACCATGATAAAATATAACATTAATACAAAATTGCCAGAATACGATGATTGTTGAGCATTCACCAGGCTTCGCTTACGTAGGGTAGTGTAATTACTAATCATAATTTGAACCAACTTTAATGATAAACATAATTTATTCTAACGTTTTTATATAGATCAATCAGGAAGAGTTAAAAATTTCATGATATTACTTTTATGTTCAGTAAGGTTAGTTTAGAGATATCGAGAGCTCTAAGCTAAATTATTTATCATACCTACTATATTATAATATATAGGATGATAACAGTGAAAAAAAATATGGCATAAAATCATGGTTTTATACTTCCAACAATATGTAGGTTTACTGAAGACTCTTCAGTGAAGAAGCTTATAGAAAAATCATCTATTATGAAAATTGTAGTAGAAAATCATATCAGGTATTGTATATAATTCGATTTTTACTAATAAGTTAGCATGAGTAAAATATACTCATTATTACCAACCTTATACTTAAATTGTATTTTATTGCAATTTGAGGTTTTCAAATGGAAAATGACTGAACATAATCATTTTTAATGTTTAGCATATCTATAATATTCTGTAACAGTCTAAATGACGTTTGTTAGTTTGTTTTGGCAATAATTCAAACAGTACGTAGTCGTAGGATATTAGTTTCGGTAGGCAATTATTTTTAACTACAAAATAAACTAAAAAATATTAAAATAAATATTAAAGTGGACGTTAAAATTAGTTTAAGCTAATTATATGTTTAAATTTTTCTTTTAAATTTTGTATTTAAAAAATGGAAGTTAAAGGAATACAGAAATACTATTTTTTTGTTCGATACAAAATAACTAAATTAAATTTTTCAAGTAACCCATAATTACTTTTAAAATTAAACTTTAGATGAAGACTTGCATAATATTTTCATTTAATTGCTGAATAAGCAACATTTTGAATACATAATTAATAATATTGTAGTATTGACAGTATTGTCACTAGCTCTTATGACATATGTGTTACTTGCAGTTTTTCTTAATTTAGCATACCTATTGGACAAACAAAGACTGTTTTGAAACATTCCACTGCAATTACTTTCACGCGCTAATGAACAATGGGAATTAAATGTTATTAAAATCGTTTCTTTAAAAAATTATCAAATTATTTCTTAGTAAGTTTATATTTAAATATTCATTTACTAACTACCTAGATGATATTCTAACTACTTTTTGGTTGTAGTGGTTGTACCAACATTGAAATATATTGTTTCAGATATTTTTAATAGGTAGTTGAAACACTCTAGAGTTGTATATTATTAGAAAATATACTTGCAATCTAATATTAAAATATAGTTTTTAATAATTAATTTTTTTTTTACGAAATGAGATTCTTATTTCTTGAAATTATATTTAAAAAAATATGAAAATGAAGTATAATTATACAACCGTAACCTAAATATTATTATTAGTTGATATTTAAACAAATATTATATTATAATACATAAATGTGTTTACCTATAACTTATAAAGTTAGGTATATAGAAGTATTTAAAGGATTTAATTAAAAATATTATTTTAATATCTAATTAATCAGTAGATAAAAATATTATATAGTTATGCAATTCAACATTTTGTGCTTAAATTAGTTAATTTATATTATTTTGTATATTTTTTGTTTTTTTTTTTTTTTATCTATTATTGGAACTTCAGTGAAACTATAAAAATTTAAATATTAATTGGTTTAAAGGTTATACCTATTATAATACACGAAACATGAATCATTGAAGATAAGAATTAACAAATGACTACCTACTGTTAATTTTAATGAATAAAATTAAATTATTTTTAATTGTTTTGTAAGACGACAGTATTATTTTTTTTTAGTTTATATTATCTAACAATTACCTATATTTAAAAATAATGAAGCAAATGGTATGAACGGTAAATGATGTGGTGCTGCCATCTACTGTTGATATTGGTATTTAAATTATAAAGTAGAATCATTTTATTCTAGAAGGCGTGAACTGTCTTTAAAAATTTAATATTTTTACAAGATCAAATTTTGAATGTGGAATACCTATTTATAAAAACAAAAGTTATTACAATAGAAGTTTACAATACCTTGTTAGATATGATGGGATAGCATAGCTCTAAACTAGGTAAAAATGTTTTTAATACGATCATATAACAGTCTTAAATTACATTACAACCAAAAAGTATTAAAAAAAAAAAATTAACGAAAAATGAAAAAAAATCGAATACCTATTATTAAACAAAATATATCGATAAACATATTTTAAAATTAATAATAAATAATATACCTAAACATATAGTAAATAATAATAAAAAATAATTACAAATAAGTTATTATTAAAATTTTTTAATTCAATTTTTATAATTTAAGCTTTGTTCATAAATTATGAGTTACAAAAAAACAATTTTTATTTATCTTTTAATAAATATTAAAATATCTATTTGCGAGTTTAATAGTTACAACTTACAACCTTTGGTAACAACTGTAATAACACATTAATAAATGTTCTCAACTTACAAGTTTAAGTCATACTTTGATATAATTTATTATTATTATTATGTTATTCTTTTTTTCCAATAAATAAATAGGTAATTCATTTTTATTTTTAAACTATTCGTTTCTTTCTTAGATATTTGGTGATTTTTTTACAGTAACTATACATAATAACTGTTATTAATTACCCATACTTGATCATTCATACACATATTAAATTTTAGAATATGTTTAAGCCTTAAGGTTTGATAAACACAGTTTGTTACATTATGTATAATATTTTATCAAATATTAAGTAAAAATAATACAGAGCAAGTAATGAGAAACAATAATTTTTTTTTATTGGACTTTTAATAATATATAATAGGTTTTTTATAGTGCGTGTTGATGTCATCTAAATAAATGTGCATATATTAACTTGTTGTCTATACCTCTATACATATGCCATGTTACAAATTAGCTGAGTGGTAACAAAAACACAATGAGTGGAATTAATCTGAAACTCATTTTAGCGTGAAATTGTGGATGATTCTTGTTATCAAAAATAAAACCAAAATTATAAATAAACCATAGAATAATAAATAACAATAATAAAATCACTGTTGTAGTAAACTGGTTTATTGGTAGATTCAATTTTGTTAATTTACTATGTTCTGTTGTAGGATGGGGAAGTATGATACATGTTTAACAAATTAAAAACTAGGTTTATATTAATTATTACAATATTATAATTATAGCAATTTATTTATTTTTTTGTTTACACATTTAATAATATTAAAATAGCTAATAAAATAATACATAATGATCTAATTAATAAACACTTAACTAACACATAGTTAAAAACAATTACGAACTTAAATTTTGGTAAAATTTATGTAAAATACAGAATATTTTATCATATTTTAGTGGAAATATTGGTTTTATTTCAATTGTCAGAAATGTTAACCTCCTAATTCCTAAAGTTGTAATAATACTTCAGTAAATTTTAAGTAGTTTTTTTTACAAATTGCTTTAAAAATTTAAAATAAAAATGGAATAAATACAATTTATTAAGGTACATATAAAAGTTACTACAATAAAAATGCGTTTTTTTAATATAACAACAATAATTATCGTTTATTGTAATTATTTATTCTAAAATTATATTAAAAACAAACTTATTTGAAAATTAATAAAGTCATATAGGTATCTTATATGTTATAATTTCAGTTAATGTTTAACATTAGTCTTTAACTAATGCATAAACATTAGTCTTTGACTAATGTATAAACATTTATTTTTTATTTAGTTTTAACTTATTGTATATGTTTTTAAATAACTTACTTGAAATAATTTTAAAAAATACTCTTAATTTATCTTATCATTTATAAATTGTAATCAAAGTAAATTAACGTCTTCTAAATTGTATTTATTTATCTGTGCTTGAACTAGGTAATAAATAAATACTATTCAAAACATATACAATAATTATATTACTTATATTAACTTAATAAAGTAAATTTTTATCAAATTTATTCTATTTTTGGATAAATATATAACGAATGTTTAATTTTATTACAGTCACTTAAGACATCAAATACAATTTTACAATATTCTATCATATATTCTATAACTATTATAAAAAAAAAATGTTCATCGATTAAATATATATATATATAAATTTATAGAAATGTAAAACATATTATATCAGTTTAATTATTTATTAAATTTTTATATAAAATAAAATAATGTATATTCATCATCATCAATATACAAAAACATATTATTTTTCTTTTTTCGTACTCTTGAACTCTGAATGTTTGATTATAAAATAATAAATATGTAAAGTATAAATTTAAGTTAAAAATATGTATACACAAACCAGTTTTTAATTTTTCTGTTAATATTTTAATCGATGACACGGATTTATATTTTAAACTACATTTCCTATTTTTTTTAAAGTACACTAATGCTATTATTTTATAACTAATACCTTAGTAGATAAGTTTTTATTTATAAAATTAATTGATTTAAAACTAAATATATACAATGTACAAAATGTTTTATAAAATCAATATATTTTATGTTATAGTATATACGATTATGTTTACACAAACTTCATACATGCTTGTATAGTATAAAATGATTTAATATTTAAAATAAATATACAATATTATTACTTAAACACATAAATGTAAAATAATTTTCAATTATAATATACTAAATGTTCAAAACAATAATGATATATTTGTGTAAATGCAAATGGTTATTTATAACATAGAATAAGAAATTTGTCAAAAAATCTATATTTATAATATGATTGACGATTTATGTTGTTATTGGTAAATTTTTTGATAGCAAAATAATAAGATTGTTTAATTAAAATAAGGTATATTTTTAAACTATTCAAAAAGTATTGCTGTTATTGTTATCCTTATTTATGAAAAACGATAAAATTATGATTTGCATTAAAAATTAATATTCACTAGGAATACAAAAACATTAAATCACTCATTATTCATTTACATTACTATATTAGCTACATATAGACAAATAAGAACAAAAATTCACATGTTTCGAAATAGTCGAAATAGAAAAACATTTCGAATAAAAATCTTTCAAAAGATCCACAACATATTAATAAAATAACGAGATATGTTCATATTTGATGACGATAATGTTATGGTTAAATTATTATAATTATATGATGTGTTTTAATAATATATTTTTTTAGCAAACCATTGTTGTAGTTTCGAAAACCTTGAAATAATAATAGTACAATATTAACAATTTATTTAGTCAGATATGACGAGAGTAGTATGAATGATATGCTATTGTTAAATACTGTTACTTTATAAAAATTAACGAGGAATGAAATACGTCAATCAACGACGATCGTAATGATAACGATTATATCGTATGCAATGTTGTTTCATTTATTTTTATAGTGTACAGCAAATTTATGTTTAAAAAAATAAAATTGGACAAAAGTGCGGTATCTTCATACACTAAGGAATAAAGTCGAAATAAAAGAAATAATAATAATAATAATAAAATACAGCCGATGAGGCGGAAGTTTTAGGTGGGTTTTCAACCTCGGATGTTGTCGATGAGTTGCTCGTATTCTTGGCGGCTCATCGGTAATTGCGATTCGTCTTGCAGATTTCCGCCGCCACTGCGACGTTTCCTCGAAAACATCGCCCCCGAGTGAGGTGTTATTTCCACGCACAGGACGACAAAAAAGTTGCGGCAGTCGTAAGCAGAATCCTGATCCAGGAGTTTTGCCTGACGATCGGCCCTCGGTGTCAATGACGAGCCCAGTCCCCGTTTGTCAGCGCTCTCAGAGTTCCATGCATCGCAGTTTCCGTCAACGGCACTGTCGCCGGAAAGGTCTGATCCATGCCAGATGGTCTTCTGAGGCCTGTGTAACGATAAATCATAAATATCGTAATACATTATGTACACAATAGATAATAATATTATTACCACGTCACCGTTATGATAGGTAAATAGTAGGTAAGTTACGACACTACGTGTACAGAAAATATTGATTTAATTTTACCAACTTTTGTATATTTTTCATTATTATTACCTAGTAAAAACGAGTTGTGCGTGCTATTTTTTATTATATTATAATCCAAGAACAGAAACCTTGACGGGTTTAATAAAATTCGTTTAACATTGGTTATTACCGGTCATTCAAGCCTAACTTTTTTAAGACTCAAAAAAATAAATATGTATTGCATTGAAATATAAAATTATATTACCTTTTCTTAAAATAAAAGATAATTTTTGCATTTATAACACACAAAAAATATTTATATTTATCATAAAATGTTAGGATTTTATGATTAGTAGTGTTATTTAGATTGAAATCTCATAAATTTTCATATTAGTTTAATAACTTGAAGAATAGATCATTTTATTTTAAAAATATATAACTTTTATTAGAATAATAATAAAAATAAACCCACTGAAGAAACTTTTACTTCAAAATTTGGATTCTAAAAAAATTATTTAAGAATTAAGTTTCGATGAAATATCGGTATCAGTATGGTCTCTATAGAATTGTGGTCAGTGCACGAGTATTATAAAAGTTATAACATTGTACTGGTTTCGAAAAAAAAATCTATGGTAATCTAAAATAATGCACTATTTTTCAGTTCACAAAACAAAACATTAGATACTAAACAAGTGATTGTGAAGCATTTTTAAATATTTTACAGATCTTTCGACAAACTTAACTATAAGTTTGTGATAAGGTCAGAAATATTTGAGATTTTAAACTATACTCCAAATACGCACAAACAGAAAAAGAAAGGATATTTATACCATAACTTATTACAATAAACTAAACAAATTGAGTGAAAAATTATTATTAAAATGACTTAAATTTATTAAATTGGACACGCAACTTGTTTAAGAACGACCAAAAATCAAAAAAATCTGACATATATTGTTCTCCAAGTTAAGATTCCGCGTTCTTTTTTTTGTTCACGTCACCATTTGTCACATCTTTGTCTATTATTATTTTTTTTTTTTTTTTTATTAATTTTCAATATTTTTTTTTTTACTCAATTAGTTTCTTATTACTGACTACTCTATGCTAATGATAAGCTTATCTTTTACGTCGTGTTTTAAACCAGAATATGCTTAGCGAACACTGCAGCCGTTGTGTTATAATAGTATATGAAACTATGGGTAACAAAAAGACAATAGCGTTTTATTTTTTTTTTCTAAAGGCACATAACTAAAGTGAAAAATGACTACAATGAAATCACTCATTTAAAACGAATTTTTATTGTTATAGAATGGCTTTTAATATGCTCTGCCCGAATGCTTTTCGCTGCATTGAAAATGCTGTAGGTAATACGATACACGCAACGGTAGAAAAAAGTAAAGGTTCTGACGTAACGCGAGTATATAGTTCGATAAGGTCGCAATATCATATAAATAAGCTTTTTTATGCATTTTTTTTTAAATTTAAGAAACAATTATTTAAATATTATTCAAATAAAATGGACTGTTTATAAACTAAATACAATATTATAATATTTTAAGAGGTGTCACAAATGTGTGATTTCCTCCTCATGTGACTATTCATTGTCAACTGTTGTAATTCATTAATATTACTTATTGTACATACTGTATAGATTGTAATTTTTCAAATAAAGCCAATTATTTAAAAAAAAAAAAATTATAATATATATAATATTATTTATAGTATGTTAATGTTTGTTCAACATTTTAAATTCCCAATTGAATATTTGTTAATTGTTATATAAATGCGTATAAAGAGATTTATTTTTTGGTCCTTCAAAATGATTGATCACTTTATTATTTAAAAACATATTACTATGAATTAATACAAGGAATAAATAGAAAATTGCCATCAGTAACAATGATTGTAATTTATACATTAGGTATATAGGTATTCAATATAATATTTGAAAACGGTATTTTTTCTTCTTTCATAATGAACATTTTTAAATTTTAATTTTGAATGTTAATGATTAATAATAATTATAAAATAAATATTTGAAAGTATTTTTTTTTAAAAACCACTCTTATTATTTTATGCGCTAGGGGTATTAACTTTTGATTTTTAAATGGCAACCCCACTTTTTCTACATTCTGAAGAAATTGAAAAAAAATAATTATAGTAGTTGAAATTTTAATTTATATTAAAAACTTTTTAAATGTGTTCAATTTATCAAAAAATAATAGTCTAATATAAATGAGTAAATTCAAAGGTGTTATTAAATAATTTAAGCTTGATTAAAAATATTCCTGATTAAAAATGTATTCGTATTTTAATTTCCTAAAAGAAAAAAAGAAAAATTGGTTAAAATTATCCTTGTATTACGTTTACGAAAAATTAATTCGTAAAAAAAAGTAATAAAATATAATCTGTCGGAGGTGATATTCTTCATTTGTGCAATATCTTAATAAGTTAGTAAGTTAGTTATAAAAAAAACATTAAACTGTATAATTAGCAGACAATTTTAGTATGTTATATGTATCGTACGTCGTACCGATTATATTATTTGGTTATTCGGAAAAATAATAATAAATTGCAAGTATTACTTCATTAATTTTATTTTTAGATACAACAATATTATTACTGGTAATAAAAATAACTCAATGTTGATATTATTTTTCTATTAATTAATTATCATCTAACTGCCGCTTACCTAAACAAAAATAATATTGTCATGCATTAATAACATGATTTTAAAAAAAAAAACGTAATACCTACTACATAAATTATATTTTTGTTTATTGATGTTCAAGAGCACGATAACGACCACGCATTTTCAGTATCTTGCGAACTACTTAAGTTTTTTAATACAATTTTGTAAGATTTGAATTATTTAAATTTTTTTTTAAAGTTATTATTTTATTTATTTATTTATTTTTTTTGTTTATATTGATGATAATTATATATATTTAAAGTAAAATCACTGGGCTTAAATAGTCGGATATACCTACATATTATATTAATTGAATAGCTACATACTTTCCGTTAAGTGTTATTTATCAAATTTGACTAGTATTTTTATACATATTAAACATTGTAAAAATTTTTCTTTCATACAAAAACATTAAGTTGATTAATTAATATTTCTATGTGAGTAAATATATATGGACATTGTTGATTTCATTCATAGAAATGTGTATTGTTAGCACTGAGGTATCTCATCTATCTATTTGATTAAAATTTTACAATGTTACCTATGTATATTACTGTGATATATTTTAAAGATCCTATTGATTATAATACCTAAATGCTATTTATATACTTCACTCAAATATTTTTAATATAATATCTATATATTTCATACAAATAAATCATTTTTCTTAATTTCATATATATTTACATAATTTAAGTTTTTAAAAATATATGTAGGTTTGAAATCCATGTATATCTATAAGCTTAGATAGCTTTAGTAATTATTAACTATTGATAACATTTGGAAATATTTACGTTTTTTTTATTCAGTTACTATACAGTGTTGTAAGTAATATACATCATATAAAAAGCAGATAAGTTTAATGCAAAAACCTTAAATGTTTTCATGTTTTTTTAATAAATTTAGATTTTAACTATGATTCTTTAGTTTATTTTGTTGTCCCAACAACTTTATGTGATATTTTATGCATATATTTGCATTGTTATTTAAATGGATTAAATTTAGCTAATAGCAAGTTATATTTCCATTAAGTATTTAAATATTTTTTACTATGAAGTATGAAACTATAATTTTCTAAAATATAAAACTTCCATCCAATTTAAATTATTCAAAATCACTTTTTAAATAGAACAGTAAGGATTTTTTTACATTTTTTTTTTTAGTGATGTAATCAATACATTTACATAACTGATTTACATTATTATCTTTATATTATCAATATTTTCTTACTATATTGAGAATTTTATATAATTTGTAGATAATAAAAGTTCATTTTATGATTGCTTATTTAAAGCATGATTATTAGCGATCTACAAGTTAATCAAATAGTTGGATTAAGCTTGTAAGTTGTATACTTAGTTGTTTATAATTAACAATAAACAAATGAATCCAAGTACTTTAATTGACTGCGGGATAAGTAATGTTTTCAAAATGTTTTCTACAAGCCAGTAATGCCAAACAAGTTTAAGTACTATATATGTTTTTTAAAGCCATTATAAATATACTTTATTATATAATAGTAGTAACATATATAATAGTTTAATTATTTGAGGTTTTTTATTTTTACAAATGAAAAATAAAAATCACCAATTACTTATAGAAATGATACTTTCGTTATTAAAAAAATAAATAAATAAATAATAAGGTTAAATGTTGATGAAATATATTTATTTTAAAATGATTGAATATTTTTATTTTAGTTTTAGTCATTTAATATTATTTTACAATTCTTATAACAGTTCGAATAATGGTTTAAATTCTTAAGTACATATTAAACATGATTTTGATTTTAATAGAATTTAAAATATGATAATACAGAGTTTTAGTTTAAATTTTATTTAATTCCTAGTGTGTAAATTCAATACCATAAATATTAAAAGTAAAATTAATATTTAATTATTTTTCAGTAATATTTGATATAATAATAAATGTAATATGTATACATGGAAACTTACTTAAACATTCACTACTTTGGGATTTAGTAACTTCTGAATTTCTCATTAACTGTGTGTAATTTCAAATCATTTAATAACTTCCCTAATATAAAAATTATACGATTTTTCTATAAAATAAATGGCATAAATATTTTACTCAGCGGTTATCGACAATAATATAAATACGATACGCTGTATACGTCCGTAAATTATAATTTCTACACGGTTATAATAATTACTAAAAATGTTAGTTTTATTACTCTCTTACCATGTAAAATCGGTGAGCACGTTTTTTCCGCTAAAACTGTATATTCTAGGCTGTTGTGATATAAACGCCCCTTTTTCACTGAATATATCTTTCCAAGAGTTGAATAGAACATCTCCTTTGATATTAACTACGGGCAAATCTCTATCGGACTCGTGAACGATTGTTTTCAAATTATTAAGCCTTGAAGACAGGAACGCTTTGAATGCTCCGTGAAGCCCCGCTCTCTGGGATTGGCGATAACACGAGTAGTCTACGCTCTGAACGCCATGCATATTACCTGAATATGGTTCATTCAACGCTGCTATTCGTAACTAGATCGTAAAACATTTTCATTAATAATTATAATTATTGAGTTAGTTTATAAGCTACGGGCCTACGTACGTAGAAATAGTCGTATTACGTTAATACGTGCTTATATAATATATTAAAAGTATAAATCAAATACGTAAATTAAAAACTGCATTTATAACTGAAGTTTTTTTTAATAATAATTAAATGAAGCAAATCTGCGAGTTTCCAGTACTCACCATTTTAGGATGCCACTGAAACAGAACAAAATATTAAAAAAATATTAACTTTAAAAAAAATATTGTACACATCTACGTTAGAGTTATTGAGTATAAAAGAGTATACATAAATGAGACACACAATAATTAACGATATTATTTAACTACTGAGAAATAGTTATATTATTTAATTTAGTAATTTAAAATAGAAAAAAAATCAACTGTGGGTCATACCATTGTGTTATCTTTTATTGGATGGTTATGAACTAAATTCGATGATTCTAATGACACTCTTGTCGGCATCGGAATGCTTGTCGGGATCGGTTCGATTCCAGTTGTGACCAATGAACCAAGCTGTAAAAAGTAAATAAATAAAAAATAATAAATCGATATATTAATTAAATTAAATCTTTGTGCTTAAAATATGACTCACGGAAATATACTGCCAGCCACGCGTGACACGTACTAAAAGAGCTTCTTCTTCGACGATGAATGCAATGGTACCCATCTGAGTTCTGTCTGTCACCTACATTTAAAAAAATATATATGATTTGATTATTTATATAAAATACGTGCTGCGATGTACGAGTAAAATGAATTGTAACAATGTAACATATTATAAAAATACGAATCATATAATTTACGTTTATCATTGATTTCTTGTTCGGGAATGTCAGAGCACCTGGTACAATAATGTGTTCATTTATTTCACCTGTAAATTAAAGGTTGTAAAAAATAATACTGATTGTTAATTAATTAAAAAAAAAAAAACATTTAGCTTATTTTGATTACTTCGGAGAGGTGCTGAAGAAAAACCAGGATCACCAGGTTCACCTTTTTGCCCTTCGATTGCAATACCGGGAATACCCTGGTGAAATGGACATTATTTATTAACAAGAACATAAATTAAACGTAAAGAAATACTAACTGGTGGGCCTGGTGGTCCTGGAACAGGCACGTATGTTCCGCCTGAACCTGGTAATCCGTCTTTTCCTGGTTCTCCTTTATCGCCTTTCTGTATACACAGCCATTATATTTTAAATATTTTAAAATATGAAATTATTAATAAAATTAACTGATTTACTTACAATAGATACTCCCGGATCTCCTTTTTCTCCTTTAAGTCCTCCTGCTTTACCCGGTGAACCCTAATACATATACAATTGTAAAATTGTTATTTTATAATATTTAAACAAATAAGTAATTTAAGCTGTCTTAATAGAAAATATCATTTATTCGTCGTATTTCAAACTACATTAGTACTTAATATAGTAAATTTTTTTTTTACAACCAGTGTTTGTCAATTTAATTTATGTTATACATGTTGACTGATACTAAATGCTATTTTTCTTAGATAATAAAACTTACGTCTTCCTTAATTTTTGATTAGCATATTATTGAAATACATATAGAGTTAGTTATCTCATTTAGTACATAATAATATACACAAATATTATTTTAAGACTTACTCGTAAACCAGGCAAACCGATTTCTCCAGGTGGACCCGGTGGACCTATTGGACCTATAAATCATTTAAATAATTTAAAAAATTCATTTTACATAATATATTTAAGTTAAAACCCGCGAATTAATTAAATACAAACTTAATGGTATTTTACCTGGTTTTCCGCGTCTGCCTCGTCTTCCCATTTCACCTAAACGCATACAATATTAAAATATATGTTATAATTGAAATGTCAGTAACAACACAAAGTATTTTATGTTAGGTTGTTAAAAATGCTTTTTTACCAAAACAATTGTACGTTTAGACAATTTAAATATAAAATTATAAAACGAATAATCATAAAATACAACATTGCTATTTATTATATGTCATTGGTAAAAAAATAATATTTCTTGAAATCAATTTAATAAGTAACTACTAATTAGTATTACTATGTTTTAACTTATAAATAATAATAATAATAATATGCCATTGTAATATCGTTACTAGTTTATTAACACTTTTTTTTATGTTTTGCAATAATGCTCAAATCATAGTAAAATTCTATAAGAATAATCATTATTGTTGAAAAACGAAGATAATATAGTTGTCAATAGTCAATAATTTAGTACTATTAGGTGTGTACTGAAATCAGGCTAAAAATGTATTTCTTTAAAGGCAATCTTAGCTTTTATTTGCTTGCACTCTATGTTTATAAACAAATCCATATATTCATTCCTACCTTTATCTCCTTTGATGTTCATTCCTAGATCGGTCGTAGATAATAAGGGTGCTGGTAAACCGGGTTCTCCTCGATCACCTTTGGGACCTGTTAAACCAGGTGGACCCTAAAACCACAGGTAAAACATTGTCACATAGGTAATTAATGTTACGAAGACATAATATATAATATAATATGATCATCAATTTGCTATCCAAAAGAAATATTATTCTGGATATATATCTAGGTTGACCAACTTACAGCTCTATGAGCCATATGTGGCTTTTGTCATTGTTAGATACGGATCGTGCCTTATTTATAAAATCAAAATTGTCATCTTTTTCTTCTCCTTATTATTATTATTTTAATTATGCATTTTAATTTTTTAGCTACCTATACGTTTATAAAAATATTAAATTGTGTGAAATGTATCTATAAACATTTAAGTTTTTGGTATCATTGTATTTATCCACGTAGCCCGCGAACCAACTATTCATGTTGGCCACCATTGAAGTATATGATAAAGATCAATATACCTAGACGGATACACTTCACGATATTATCTACAATAAGTAGATATCAAATATGAATGTCAATAATATTATTATCAATAAATTGGTCTATTCATTTTTAAACTTCATATTTTTGCGTAGAATTTATTAACTTATTAATTAAAATAAGAAAAATATATTAACAGTTAATAAAAATATTTAAAGTAAACTGCAATTGCATACAATTGTAATTTACAATATAAAAATATATTAAGTATGACTGATGATGTACCATACTAAGATTTATAATTATTATATTTTTTAATTGAGAGATATGACAATTTTTCCCTTGTATAATATACTATGTAATGGAGAAATATTTCCACTTTTGTCATGATTTAATAACTAAAATAAACTTATCTAGTACCCTTCATATTTGTAATGTATGCATTTTAGTCCAAATAAAGAATACATAATAAATTATACTTACAGGGTTTCCTCCTGGGCCTTGATTACCAACCGCTCCCTTTTCCCCAGGATCACCTTTTGTCCCTTTATCACCTTTGACTGTTTTCACAACTGCTGTATCCGCTAATTTAATGAAATATAATTAATAAATATTATTTGAGTAGATAACATAAAAATAAAAATCTAACTAAATATCAGCATCATCGATATCTCTCGGTATTAAAATGTGTGATCAAGAAAATGATTCAATTCAATTTCATAAATACGTAAATACATAATTAGTCATGTATGACAATTGTTTATGATCGATTTTAACTTGCAACGATTAAAAATATCACTATAGATTCCAATCGTTTTTATTTTAGTTTATTAAATACCACAATTTTTGATACAGACTTATTTATTAAATAGTAGTATACTGGTAGACTTTTTTGGGTGCGTTACGATTGCGTATGATACTATTACGTATGGACCTTTTTCATTAATACGATTGCGTACATTCTACCAACCCAAATTTAGCGTAACGTTGCCGTTGTTCAAGGTCGTGAAAATTTATAATATAACTTATTTTAGGAAATGACTGCTTATATTTGATACAATTTCATAAACATTACTGTAACTATTTTTTCCAAGCCAATAGTTTTCGATAATCTATAAAATACTATAAGATATGATAAAATGTCGATTATTATATCGGATTATCTGGCATGTCACACTTTAGCATCGTTATAAAATTAATATACGATTAAGTTGCCATTCAATAAGTCGCTGGTATTATAGTGTTAGTGAGTGTAACAGTGAGTTAACCATAGAGAATCTTTTAAAAATTATAACATCAGAACGTGGGAAAAAGTTAACTGTGGTTTCTTCACATAAATATCGTTATATAAGAAAATGCAAATACGAATGGTTAAAATGGATATGTTATAACAAAAGTTGTTATACCAGCATTTTAACTGATGTAAAAAAACTCAGGTTAATGCAGTAATTGGTGAGCACAAGCATAAAACACCTATATTGAAAGCCAAGTGCTTAGAAGAAATTGTAAACAAAAAGCCAGCGATTCAATTTCAACTTGACAAAGCAAAATTATACGAAAAGAATAACTGACAAATTTAGGTATAGATATTGTACATAAGGATATTTAATTTATTCAAAAAGCCATATATATATATATATGGTAAGATGGAAAAACTTTCCTATATACCCAAAATCTTTTGATGAATCCATAGATAAAATTTGGAAAATGCAAAACAATGATATTTTTTAAATTTAATGATAAAAAATTTATCCACATTCCGAAAAATAAATCATTTATCTATATGACGACTGAAGACGATTTAAATTTTATGAGTTCTCGCACAGAATATTTTTCGGATGGAATATTTCAATTTGCACCTAATTTTTTTATGCAGATGTATACTGTCAATTGTTTTAAAAACGGATTTTATTTACCGGTTATTTTTATATTTTTGAAAGATATATTTAAGCAAACAGATAATGAAATATGGACATTTATTAAATAATTATATTTTACAACACACATTTCAATATATGCAAATTACACATCGATTTTGAAATAGAAGCACACGAAGCTATAAGGAAAATTTTTCCAAATGTACAACTTACTGGATGTTGTTTCTATTTAAGTCAATCTTGGTGGTGTTATGTAAGTATTTGAAAAATTACTAACTCACATCGGTTGCATAAAATACATACACAGTTACATAAAACATTTTTTATATAGATGAACTCAAATAAAAAATTGAGGACAGCATACTTGGATGATAAGGGTATATTAGGAAAATGGTTAAAAATGTTTTTTTGGTCTACCATTTTTGCCTTATCAAATATTTGAATTTTTAGATTACCTATGTATTAAAAAATTATATACAACCAAATTATATATTTTCAACTAATATATGGGCTGAAAAACTTTCAATAAATAAAAGGTATTATATTTTTATAAATTAATTTATAAAGTTTATGTTCTAATACATAAAAATAAAGTGCCATCAAATAATTTAATTTTTATTAATTCCATATATTTTTCTTATTTTAATATCAGAACTACAAATGGTCCAGAGAGTTTCCACAAAACTTTTAACTTTCATTTCTATAACGCACATCCACAAATCTACTTTATCATTGAGACATTGAAAGAAATGCAAGCTGAAACCAATGTAAAAAATATCCACTGTATAAAAAAAATATAACCGAAGCTATTTCAACTTAAGATATCCAAAAAATTAACCATGTAATAAAACTATATAATCGATTTAAAATAGATGATAATGTATTACATTTTTATCAGGGACTGGTTATTGATACCAAGATTTTAACCTATAATAATATATAATTTGTATTTTATGTATATATAAATATTGTTTTTTAATTGATTTAAACTTTTTAGTTTCTTAAAATTTAAATTATATTATTTTAATCTAAACAAATTATCAGGAAATGGTTATTGATAAATATCAAAGTTTTTAATGTATTTTATTGTATTTATATACATATATATTTTATATTGACTATACTAATAGTTTTTAAATTAAATTAAATTTAGTAGTACCTACCTGCTGGCAACGTTGCACTCATTTTCGTACGCAATCGTAATGTTTTTAATGCCTAAATAGAGAAATCATACGCAATCGTTCTACTAAAACTAAAAGGGAAAAACATACAAAATCGTATATCACCACTTTTTTTTTTTTACATAAGAAATATTTGCTGTTTACTATAGTAGTATATTCGATACAGTTTTTGTGCATTCGTTGATAATAAAAATATTATTCACGTAAAATGCAGTCTTATGGATGAGTGAATTGTATTCATTGCAGTACGTTATAACGCTTTACAATATTATGAATTTGGGATTTGGGATTTTAATTTACATAAAATCTATGGCTATTTAATAGTTCATACTTACTTTTATCAGTTTTCACTCCAATTTGCGTTGGTCCAGGTGGACCTGGAGGTCCGGGTGGCCCACTATCGCCTATAATAACACAATCATAATATTTTATTTTAGATATCTATTCCAGGTTATTTTGTAGCTAATATTATTATTGACAATTTAGTTTTTAATTTAGGTTGTTTAGAAAATACAATAAATATGTACTCTGGTACTTCCAATAGGTAGGTACCTATGTACTACGTTTAAAATATAAATCATAAAACGTTAGACGCTGATATACTGCACAGAGCTTATGTTATACATGGTACCAACGTACGTATAATCATTAAAAATGTAAAATGTATAATAGATATATTTATTATTAAAACTAAACGTTTTTTCCCCTAAACGATTTATTCAATACCTATGTAGTGCACATATTTAATGAAGTTTACCTTTTTCGCCTTTGGGCGCTGGACGAGCATTTTCTCCTGGCATTCCTGGAGTTCCATCAAAACCACGTATTCCTCGTTCCCCTAAAGTATACATTAGTCAAATATTTATAGTTAACTAATAACTCATAAGTAATACATTCAAACAAGGATTAAATTTGGATTAAGTAAATATGCAAAGGTACATAACGATAAATAATACGTGATTCATATTTGATTTTTAACGTGGGAATATTTTGATAGGTTTCAGCGAATAAAATTTGATTTATCATTTTTCAGAAGTACACATTTCAAAATTATATCATGTGGGTTTTTATATTAATACATTTAACTACTATAATAATATTATATGATAAAGTTACGCCGTATTCAATGGCTTTGATTAGGACCAAGAGGACTACATGTACAGAATAATAAATTATAAGTTTAAAAAACTATATATCATATTGAATTAAATTAAATGAAAAGTGAACTGTTAATAAAGAAAAACGGATTTTATATGTTTTAAATATATTAATCATGTGATAATACCAATAAAAGATATATAGGTTCTAAATCGTAGATAGAATATTTCATTAGAAGAATTTAGTGTTCACACTGTTTGGTAGGTATTGAAATAATGAGTATTAGGTGAGTATATATAGATAGATATACCTATCTACTTACTAAAGTAGGTTAGATGATATACTTATTAATGAAAATAAATTGTACCTATCGATTGCATGATTGATATAATTGATAGTAACATTTATAATTTTTTTGAAATCAATTTAGTAATATCATGTTGGAATCAGTAAAATATAGAAAAGGAAAATTTCAGTCGAAGAAAATAAATTTTTTGATTTACCTTTAAAACCTTGTGGTCCCATAGATCCAGCATGACCCTATGACATAAAATAATAATTAAAATCAAATTGTAACTGTTAAACATTTTTAAAGTATTTTATAATAATTATAAATATTATAATATTTTACAAGAAAATTTGCAGTCTACAGTAATGTAGGTATACAATTTGTATAGGTCATAGGTATTTTATCGTTAATTATCTAAAAGTACTGCTGCAAGTGACATGTGCATGGTTAATCGTGTCTATTCTAAACTTCAACATGGAAAGATGCATGATCATCCAAAAGTACCTTATAAAACTAAGATTATAAAATAAAAATTATTGTTAAACACACTACACTTGTAAATTATTTACCCATATTGACAATTTTATGTATGATTACTATTTACTAATTTTTTAGGTACTACTGTACTAGGTTGGGACTTATGATAATAATTATTGTTGTAATACCTAGTTTATAATACACTGAGAGTTAACTCTTATGTATCTATATTATTATAATATTTAATGATTTGGTTAATGCAATGAAATATCAAATTTGATCTCACTGTACTTCGACCGGATTGTCAAATTTATTTTCGTAGGATTACTAAAGAAAAAGTATTTTAATAAATTTATTAAAATAGTGTTTCGAGACAATTAAAGTTGAGATATCACAATTAACCTCATGATTGTAGACAATATCTCTATTTGAAAAAAAAAAAACGACTAGGATCATGAGGTCCCATAAATAGGTATGTCGTAGGTAGGTACTAAAAATATAAAATGTCGACATGTATATTATAAAACTTTGGATGTTTAGACAATCGGATTACATATCAACAATTAAATATAGGTAAATAACTTTTTTTTTTTAAATTCCCAAATGAATTATTTCTATTTATAATTATTATAATTAAACTATATTATAATAATTATTGTTTTGTGGTAACAGAATAATTAATATTAATAACACGATTTCTTAAATATTAAATTTGACTTAAATCAGTACAAAAGTCAATAGGCATACATCTGCCGAAATAGCTCAGTTGGGAGAGCGTTAGACTGAAGATCTAAAGGTCCCTGGTTCGATCCCTGGTTTCGGCAATATCTTTTTTGTTTTTTTTTTTTCATATCAGTTTGGTTATTTGATATTTTTAATCGATATAATATCGTAAATTATACTTGCCTTTAATAAAACAATTTTTTATATTACTTCACGTGGATCTGAAGATATCTGAGACCTATTATATTAATATTAATTTTGTTATTGTTAAATAGCTATAAATTGACTCATAACTCGAAAATGAACATAATTTTTTGTGTAATTAAAAATAATGTGATTGGTAATTTAACTGGATTATACTTTAAAATTTTTAATTATATTTTAATACATTAGCCAATTCTTCTGAAAAATCATCAAAATCCTATAATATGACATGATTAAATTGGCCTAGCTACAGTAAGGATATCCGCCGCGTGATGTAAATTATTAAGATATTATGTTAATTATTATTAATAAACTTTTCTTTGATAATTTTATCAGTGATATCGACGTTGACCCTTAGGCTAGGATCACACTATGCGTTTTGTCGGTTCCCGATCAACCGGAGCCAAACCGCAACACTCTAAAATAAAATAGGTTTAAATATAAAACGCGTTATCAGGGCCAGACTAGACCGATTTACGGAACCGATTAAAAACCGTCGGGAAGCGACCGCAACGTGTTGCGGCCCAACCGTCCGGTTGCGTTTCGGGATGTAAAGCACAACACATGCAATGCAATTTGTCCGATCACATTTGTGCGGATTATCGGTAACCGAAATTGAAAATTTTATGAATAATTAATAATGATTTTTAAATTTAAATAATTAAAAAACTTAAAATATATTTGTAATATACATATATATATATATATATATTATATTTTATTTATATTATAGATGTATATTATTATTTATTAGTATAATTAGTTGATACACGTTTTAAATAAAAACAAATAATTCTAATTACACAACCTTTTTATTATTTTTTTACTTATAATACTAGATACATTTCGTTTAAATAAAAAATCAGTTTAAAATTTAAATTTAAATTAAAAACGATTTTCGGGCTTTTTAATCTCATTTGTATGTATTCGGTTACCGATAAAACGCACAGTATGATCGATCGTCCCGATTGCGGTTAATCGGGATAGTATTTTTCGGTTGCCGACAAAACGCATAGTGTGATCCTAGCCTTAGTAAACGTAAGCAAATACTCGTTTCTAATTTACCCGTGAAACTGTTTACAGGTAATGGCGTTGATTAGAATTTATATTAGATATTATTATTACGATTATTAGAACGCTAAATATACATATATAATACATCATAATATTAATGTATACAACTTCTGATTAGTGTAAGATATCATCGCTTAAACTCAAAATAATGTTTAACCGAATGGTGAAGTCAAAACCTTATTTATGAATTATAATAATAATTAATAAGTCATTGAAATAGTGAATATTAAAAATATTTTGATGATTATTGTAACTAATAAGAAGTAATTAACAAGTTTCGATTGGATGTGGGCTTGGTGATAATTATTAATAGTATTAATATATATTTATTTAAAATCCAATACGAATATTTGTCTAAAAACTTACACGTTTTGGTTTAGCTTTAAATCGGATTAAAATACACGGTTTATATAAAAATTGAAATAAAATATAAATACAGTGGTTATTAATAAAACAAAAAGTGGTGGATTTAAGTACCATGACATGTCATATTAATATTTCATTGTGTTTTAATGAATGTACTAAATATTTAAACAGATGCAAGTATAATAAATCGACTACAATAGTGACGAATGCATAAATCCACTGTTGTTAAGTGAAACTTATACTGAATAATGAATAATATGACCTTATTTAGGTAGCTTTAAACAATCATAATAATTGTTACTGTCGAAGGATTTTATATTTTTAATCCAATCACTCAACTTGTCCAACAGCATATTTCAGAATGTTTAGTATATTTTTTGTACGACTGACATGTCTGTCTCTCCAGTTGTCAATTTACACTTTGGGACTTGGGTTTATTGTTTAGTTATTTTTAACAGTATATACATTTTAAGCTCAACACTGTGGCACATTCAAAAGTTTCACGCCTCAGGGCTAAAAGTTTACTCTACTTCGACATAATATTGCAACACAAAAAATGTACACTTTCAATTCATCTAAAATAATATTTCCTTAAAATATTGACTCAACCATTCCAAATAGACCACCAATTCATTAATTATAAACTTTTAATATATTAATTATTATTGAAGTAAAATACTACCTTGTCGCCTTTGATTCCTTTGCTTCCCATTTCACCACGAACGCCTTTATTGCCTTGAATTCCTTTTGCACCTATACAATTCAAAAGTTGAATTATTAAGCTATGTAAGTAAATGTTTCTATTATACCCTCAAGTAGTTTAGTACTGTATAAAAATAAATATCTCTTTTAATAGAAAAAAATAAAATGTATTAGCATATGTATCTTGAATATTGAAAATACTGTAAGAACAGTCAATATTTTATAAATAAAATATTATAAATTCTTTGGGGATTCCCCAATATAAGTAGAAGAATAATATAATTTATCATATAAATAAATGGAGTGGCCGAGCAGATAAGGTATTTTCAAACAAGGATAATAACAAGCATCATCACCGATTTAAACTCTTCACTTGTAACTTTCGACTTACAGTCTCCAAGTAAATGATATATTCATTTAGAGAGGAATTCAGAGGACACAGCTAATAATGATAAAAAATAATTTAGTGTTTTTGTTCAATAGATATTTAAATCTCAAAATGTCAATAATTATTTTGTATTTAAAACTGCATTTCGTTTTAAAATGAAATACATAAGTTTTGATACAATGTCTCTCTGAAGAGTTGTTTTAACAACAATTTAAAAATATTAAAAAGACATTAAGTGTATAATTTAATTTGATAAGCGTCTTAAATCATCTATCTTCTTTGCTCCGAATTACTACAGAATTTCGCATTCTTTTAATAACTTATTGAATTCATATTGAACTTAGGATTTGATATTGCACGTACGTATAAATAATCTATAAAAGTTTGATTATTAATTTATTAACAAAATTAAAATAAAAACATATTTTATATGGTATTATTTAAATTTTTTTCTTTATAGTATTATGCTATGGGGTTTATTTTTAAGAGATTCTGACCGTAGGTTATAATAACATTAATACGCTTTGAAGTACCTTTTAAGCCCGGAGAGCCGTCAACACCTGGGTCGCCTTTAGGACCTGGGGGACCGGGCCTCCCAACATTTGACTCAAACCCGATGTCCTGAAAATTATATAAATAATATATTTTTTTTTTTTTTTTTTTTTTTTTGTGAGTGAATTTTTAAACCAAAGCTAAATTAAAAGTCTAAATTGTGGTAATAGGTGCTAAAATAAAATAGGATAATTTTTCTTGTTTAAGTGTTCAACTATTCAAATAATAAATCATAATTCATTCTCTAAAAATCAAAAATTTACCTTGTAAATTGGTCTTGGTTTCCAACTAGGCTATAAATTTTAAATACAGTATTATATTTTTGATTATTATGATTAACATAATGAAGAATTAGAAATTACTATTTATTATTTAAAACTTTATATTAAATGTATTAACTCACATCGTTGTTTGAAAAGTCAGATCCACCAGGAGGACCTGGTGGACCTGGAGGTCCTTGTAAACCACGCTCTCCGTCAACCCCAGAATCGCCTGTAAGTAACAATAAAATGGAAAATAGTATTAAATATTCACTTACTATATGGCAAATCAATATTATTATGTTTTGGTTTGTGATTGGAATAATACAGACTTTATTATTCACGTCATGATTAAATTTGTATATTTACCTTTAGGGCCTTGAATGCCTTCGCTTCCTCGTGGCCCGACATCTCCTCTTTCACCTTTATCTCCTAAATTAAAATTATCAAAAACAAGTATTAATTATTATTTTACATTTTGGAATAATATTGTATTATATATTTTCGAATAATAAGTATTGATGGGCATCAATACTTTAAAAAATAATTGATATACTTTAAAAAAACAGGCACCTTAGATATTTTACTAATATATGTAGACAATTAATGAAGATTATTATGAAATATTAAAAATAAAGATTAGATATAACAGAAATTATTTCGTTTGAAATTATATAATATACATCTAACGCATTTATACATTTATTATATGCAATATAAATATATTAAAAGTAAATGTATAAATTAATTTTAATTTATGTTTGTATGTTTTGATAAATCGTTGTATGGGAAAAATGATTCCAAGTGGAGATGAACTATATTTCTAAGGATATTTTATTATATTACAATATGTATATTGCTATTAGTAGTGTATTTTTCTTTTAAGCAATTTAATAGCTTGAATAAAATTTAACCAAAAACAAATAACATAATATATATAATATTATGAGGTAATAATTATAATATTATTAATTACTAACATACTATTATCAACTTATAATACCAAAGTATTGAAGAGTATTATAAATTGGTTCGTGTTAAAAAAGCACAAAATGAGTCTATATATTTTGAAAATTTAATTTTTTATAGTTAAACTTAATTTATGCCTAATGGCATAAAAGTTTTTAGGTTCTATGAATATATGTATTTGAATTACAAAAAAATAACTAAAATCGTTATAATTTGTCATATTATTCATTTTTGTTAAAATTTAAATTTTATTATCTATTAAATATCCAAAATGTTGATGTGCATTAAGTACACTGCTTAAAATTATATCACACATTAATTATTTTTTTCATAAAAATAGTTGATTGATGTGATAAATTACTTGAAAATAACTTAAAAAAATTTTGTTCAATTCATTATTATTTATAATAGTAATAAAATAATATTTTGTTTTACCTTTTATTCCTTCTGGTCCTCGATCTCCTGGCAATCCTACTGCACCCTAAAAAAAAAAAAAATGTTATTAAATATTAATTATGTTTTATATTTTATTAAGCCACGAAAAATACAACATCTATTTAATATTTATTTTATTATTATTGAAAATTTGATCTATTTATATATATTTATACCTAATAATATTTTATAAATTTAAAAAAAAAATTACTTTAGACAGGAACTGTTTTTTTTTTTTTTTTAATAATATTGTAGTTATAATAACATGATTTGAGAAAGATCATTATTTAGTTTTAGATAAGAAATAACCAGTTCCAGATTTTTAATTTATCAATGAGGGCGGAAGAAGACGAGTATAAATTTATATTTATAATGTATTTGTGATATTTAAATAAAATTTAATATATTTATTTATTAATTAAGCTATTTTCCGTTTTTATTATTATTAATAGCTTTAGCAAGGGGAGGGGGATAAAAATTCATTTTATGTCTCTTTAATATATAAATATTGATCTATCACTGTATTATATAATACATATATATATATATACATATTATACTAATTAAATAAATGTATTTTAAGACTTAGTACCTATAACTTCCTATTAGAAATACAAACATACAAAATATAATATTGAATTTCAATAGGTAAAAAAAATATCAGATTTTTATTTAAATGCGTTATATTTTGTAACTATATACTGGTCAATAATCGATAAATTACTTTCATATGAATTCAAAATGACCTTTTCGGTGCCTAAACTCTTACTCGTTATTATATTTGGTGGATTTAAACGGGTTATTCTAATACATTTTTCCGGTAAATTACTATACTGATAGTTGGTGCAATACCAAAACCAAAATTTCATTATTATTTTACATTAGAGTACCATTCACGATTTCCCAAGTGATCACTTTATTGACTTTAATCCCAATAGTGGTAAGTATCCAACCCTTGTATGCACACCTATTATATAATATAGCACTGTTACTGGCGACTTACCAAACTAAATTTTTTATTAATACCTAACAATATATTATGACACTTACAGTTACATACAAGTATTTACAAGTAAAAATAAATTATTGAATAAGCTTTAAGCTCAAATTCTGGAAAAATTCAATATTCAAAATTCAATGCTAATTTAGTAATCAACATAAATTATAAAGTTTTTAAAACGAAAACTTTAACAAAGAATAAAATAACATTAATTTTATGGTAAGTAAAAAATGGCAATATCGTATAAAATCACATCAAAGAATTGTTAATTTTTTTTTTTTTTGTAACTTTTATTTTATTATTATTGATAATTATATAATTTATTATTAATAATTTTAACATAGTTATATATTTTCTATTAAATGTTTTGTTAGAAACTTTTCGGAAATTCAATCTTATGTTAATCAAGGTTGGTCTGTAATTATTCCTTGAATAAAAATATACCTAACTAAAAAACTACAATTTTTCCGTAAAATATTTTTTGAATTTAATTTTTAATATATATATTTTCATAGTAAATCTTTAACAGTAAATAATAGGTTGGTAAGTATTTTAATTTTTTTAATTAATTTGTTGATAGTTTTTCACGAATTTATAATTTAAAATTTACTTGTTTCAAAAACTTTTGTGCAAGGCTCTTTTCATAATGAACAATTCAATAACAATTAAAATCTATATTCAAAATTTTTATAAGCTTCATTTTATTTATTTAAGTATTGATATAAATTAAAAAGTAAATTTAAATTTCATAATTATATTTTACTGAAAGCTTTTTAAGCTTATAAAGAATTTTAGTTTCCAATACAGCTAAATTATAAATGTGTATAACTTTTTAGTTGAAAACCAAGAAAGACAATAAGCATGATAGCTACGGATTTCTTTTATATCAACTACTAAAAGCATTTTGAAACATATTCGTTCCTTGTGCAAAACTGTACAAAATGTATAACCATTTGTTTCAAAAGTAGGTATTTTACAGACTTAAAGTACATAATATACCTATATAGGATGTCAAAAAAGCCATTTTCCGACATTAAGTAAAACTTTAAATTGATTTTATAGTTTTTAAAATATACATTATACATATTTTGATTGTAGGTATTATATGAATAAAAATTATGAAATATAATTTTTTGCATGAAATACTATTGATAGTTTTACATAATTTTTTGCATGAAATAACATTGATATTTTTATTGAAATACTCTAATTTAGAAAATATGAGTTTTTATACTTACCGATAAATTATACTATCATTGAATTTTTTTTTCATGTTTATATTAATTTATTGCATTTAAAAATTTAGAACAATATTTGGGTCCTTATGGTTGAAATAGATGAAATATAAATTCAATATAAACAAGACATTTTAATATATATATTCTTTTTTTTGTGTATCATTGACGTCAAGCAGGTCCATATATGTTGTAAAATAATAAACTTAAAGGTAACGCTCAAGGAGTTAAGTTAAAGGTATACAACTATACAAAACATGCAATTTGCCAGTACGTAACGTAAATTCAATTAGACGTATCATACATGACGTGTACGATTAATTGCTTATATTTATTCAAACAAGCTATTATATTAATGTTATTATTATTAACTATATATTACGATTTTGAACTCGATTAATTATCTCCTAGAATAATTGGAGTGTAGATCAACATTTTACGTTAAATAAAGTTTTATTTTTCAATCGTATTTTATTAAGTTAATGAAGATTCAAAAAAAAAAAATCGAAAATTCACTTTTGAAAATTTTGTATACAACATTTTATTTTGACTAAAATTAGTATCTAGAACGTGTATACCAACCGGGAGTCCTGTCAATCCCATTTTGCCATCAATGCCTGGATTGCCTGGTGGTCCTTGTAGTAATTCCGGTATTTTTCCGGGTGCAAATAACGTGGTGAGGTTACAGCTACATACACCTGGCGGACCCCTTGGTCCGGATACTCCGGATTTGACGAGCTAAAATAACATCGATATCATTATTATTTACTATATCAATTAATTAAATAAAATCGACGCTATAATAATGCGCAGAGTACATATTTTAAATTATATTATTCGAGATCGTTAGTATTATTGTTGTTGATTATTATCCAACCCTTTTGAAAACCACGAACTGCATAGCATAACATTAGACATTTGCACAGCACGTGATTCTAAAGCGGATTAGTACATAACACTTTGTGGTTGTGCTGGCACGACTTTAGTCAACTTTAATAATAACGCCTCAAATATATACACATATACATACGAGCGCGTACACACATATAGTGTGGAATGAGAAACGCTTGTCGAAACTTTGCCAATTTAAATAAGACGTCGACGAGGAGGGTACAAGATCGTGGGTTGTGGTCAGTGTTATGATTCAAATTTTGTGGATAACATACGACGGTCAAAACGCAGTATTATACATATTATCCACCATGAAAAGCTGTCAAATATTGAATTCATAATTTTGTTTTTAAAACGATTAAAAAAAAAAAAAAAAAAACTATCGTAAATTAATTCAGAAAATACGCTTTTACGACGAAATTTTTGTAATTTTCACAACTATATATAGTATTGTATTCAAAACTTATTTTACTAAATAAATAAATAACTGTTACTTAATACTTTATTTTATGTAAATAAGTGTAATAGTATTATTTTGTTCTTTTATTTCAATAGCTACCTATCTAAATTTGTATATTTAATGTTTAATGCCATTTGAATAAAATTACAAGAAATTATAAAACAAAGTATTACGTTTACCGACTGTCAAACAAACCAAATTTATTAATCAAAAATGTTTTGATAAAATAAAGAGATAGAAGTTTTTCAATGGATATATTTAGTACTATGAATATTTCAAGTAGTTCAATATTAACGAAAATGTCTACATTAAATACCCTTAGGTACATAAAAAACAATTTTTTATGAATTTTTAACTACAAAATAATTTGTATATTTTTGAGATTCTGAATGAATGTTATCAAAATTTTAACTTTAGGCATTATAAAAAAAATATTGTAACTATAGATATTCAATATTATTTAATTGAGAAAATGAAAACTTACGTAGATTTTGTATTACATTTTTGAGTATCTCTACCTAGTGAATAATTTTTAATCTTCATTTATAGTAAAAAGTCTATATAAATTTGAAAATTCTTATGCCTAAAAATAGATGAAAAACAGATTAAATTGTAAATATAAAGTGATAATACAAAAATTTAATAATAATTTCAAGTATTTATGGTAATATTTTTTCGAGTTTCAACTAAATTAAATTGATTTTGTGAAAAATTGAATTTACGAGAAAAATCCAGTTTCTTCTTAATTTTTTTTTTTTGGTTTACTCAATTATATAAATTACTAGGAATTTTTTATTTTTGATCCTTCAATTTACTAGATCTAATTTTTAACCAGAAATCAACTCCGTTTTTAAAAACAAAACCGAAGTATTTTTATTGTCCCAAAAGGTGATGGCAGGTATAAAAAACACATGATTTTAAATCAATACATGCATCGCTTTTCTCAGAATCTTAAATTAGTTATTTTCAAAACATTATTCAATTGATTAGATTATAAGGTAAAATAATTTTATAGCTATATATCAACAGTAATAATATATTTAATTAAAATTTAGGTATGCATGAAAATTTGGCAGCAGTATTTTATTAAACTTTGAAAAAAAATAGTTTACAAAAGTTTAGAATGAAAACAACATCTAATATACTCCTAAGAATGTAAGTACATTATTATTATTTTTGACGTAGAAACCAGTTTTTGATATGTAAGTATACTATTATAGTCAAAACACTCAAATAAATATTATAATAGTTACGAATGTTGTGTACGATTCATGAATAATGTTAGCTCAGTAAATACCTGAGCAGTGCAGTAGCTGTGAAAGTATTCACAGCACAAAACAGTGTCGTCAGTCTGATTTAGATAGTAGCGTATATTGCATTACTTTTTTTTTTAATTAACAATAAATATATCATATTAAAATCACCATCTTATTAATAACACAACGAAACAAACTATGCAAAAAGGTTCAGTCAGAACTGGTTGGCTAAGACAAACAACACAAGGATCAACCAAAATGAGAACTCTAGGTTACAGTACGAATACCCGAAAATTCGATCAACATTGAAAAATTACTTGTTAAATATTATACCGTATATGTTTTTTGTTTCTATAACAGTTATAAACAATACATTGTAATGCATTTCAAAAGAAATAAAATAAACTGATTTAATCAATTAAAATATAGTTTAATAAATATATAAATTACAATAATATAAATCAATTTTTATACCCCTGTATAATAATAAAAATTAATGGTAATAACTTTCTATTAAACAATATTTAAAACTAACCAGAAATGCAACAAATCGTTGAATGATTAATAATCGCTAAGATAATAGTTTAAATTTTAAAATTAAATTAAATTGTAATTAAAAACATTTTTTAATATACTAGCGTATTATTTTTGAAGTTAAAATAAAAATGCTAAAACCGCTGTGATAAAAATTATTATAATGTATTTACTGATTATAATATAATATTGTATAATTGTTTTAATAGGGTACATTGTTTTTGAATAAAGTAAATGGTAGGATGGATAGTTTAAACTAAAAGTGGAGAAATACTATCTGATCGTATTTTCTCTATATAGACCGACGATTACTGAATTTAATAGGAAACTACTAGAGCTTAGTAATTCTATAGCATTGATAGGAAATATTTCTAAAATGTTTGTAATAACGATGTTTTATTCATGTTTATCATAAATATGGAATTTACGTTGAACCCTATCGTTTATAAGACCTTAATTTATTATAATATTACGTAACTGATATATAATGAATTTTAAAATGTAGAATGATTATTAAAAAGTTAACAAAAAATATGTTGAGAATTAATTCATAACATTGTTTAATTTTATTAAAATAAAATATATATTTTAATGCAGTATTGTAATCTTTCATTTTAAAGAATGGTTGTAGATGGTAATTGACTAAAAATTATCTCTCACAGTATCAGATTAAAATCCTTGGAAAATATCTGTGTTATAAATAAACTTAATTTAAGTAAATGAAAAATTAACTTAAAAGCTCTTAAGATTTTATCAAGAATAAAGTGTCACGACTTTAGTAGCTTCAACTAATACATATTTATGAAAAACTTTGTTTACTAAGTATATAATTATTAAAACCAAATCGTATTTCTATCATTTGTTTAATCTGATTTGAAAAAAATAATATTACGCGTATAGGCAAATATATGTATAGACATGGTAAAATATTAGAAGAGAACAAATCGACATTAAAGTATTGTATATTATTTATTTTAATGACATTAATATATTCACAAGTCATTGACAATTAATAGTTTTTAACTTTAAATATATTATATAATCCATAAAAAAACTTTTACTTTGAAATTTTTATTAAGATTAAAAAGTTTTTAGTTAACAATATTTAAATTTGTATCCAAGATTTTTAGATATCAATAAAAGCACTATTTTTATAATGGATATGCAAATAGTAATGACTATCATAAACGTTAGATATATTCAATTTTATAAATACATAATTAATTGTTTAATTTCAAGTATCATAGTAAATATTTATTAATTTTAAGAACTTTACTAATTTTAGCAAGTTGTGATAAAATTAGAATTGAGTTCTTCTAGAATATTTTAATTGAGTTTTTTTTTAATATTTTAATATTTTTGATTTATTTTTTGGCACTTTGCTGTAGTTTGTAATTAATAGTTCATTATTTTTATGGTGATATTTATTTTATTTAAAGTTAAATTTTTATTTAATTGGATATTTTATATATAATTACTAGTATGGTTTTTATTCTATTAGCATATTATCTTAAATATATGATCATTTCGTCATCATATATTTTTTAACTTGACATTAAAATCAAATTAAATACGTTAGATTCGGATAAATAATTACTGGACTTAAGGTACTTAGTAAAATATAATATAATATAAATATAAAAGTATTCACTTTATCTTCAATGAATAAAAACAAAAATATCATACACATGTTATTTTATTAATAATGCATTATAGCTTTGCTTGAGTAACTATTTAAATATGCATAATAATCAATTGTCTTTAAATAAATTCAAATTAATGAAAAAAAAAAAAATGTATAACTTCGTCATGAATTTTTTTATTTAATTATCGAATTATTTTGAAAAAATGTAATTTTTAGTTTTTTACAACTCGACATAATAATATACAAAGTTATAAATCGGTAATTAGGTATTATGTTTTTTATATTTCCTAGCAAAAAACATTATAATTCTATTATTATTTTTCACATACATAAATTATGTCAACATTTCAAATTTGATTTAATTAAAATTATTTTACTTACATTCAATGAAATTTATTTTCAATAAAAGTGTCTTCAGAATTACAATATTATATAAGTTTTAATACTTGTGTAATATTGTAGGAAATTACTAACTCGTGAATTATATTGAAAATTAATGTACCTATACAATGTCTCATCATTATATGTGTACCTTTGGGTTGAGATTGAACTTTATTTCATAAAATAATTTACATAGTATACTAAGCATTGATTATAAGATAGTAGTTTTTTAAACTTTCATTTCATGTTATTTGTGCAACTAAAAACTTTTTGATCTTTACTTTTCAACTTCTTTGATGAGATATATGATTGTCAACTGTTAATAGTTTCATATTTTATCATTATTAGTTGTAACATATTTTATTTAAATTTGATAACATGACTATACGTGCCTCAGTCGTTAATGTTAGTGTAATTTATTAACATACCTATATTATGTAATATTAACCTTAAACAATAATATAAAATTATAAGTAACCTACTGTCTCATACATATTCAGTTTATTTGGTCAATAGTTATTTTAAATAAATTTATCACATAGTATTTTAATATCGATGAATGCCCTAAGTGTTTTTTTTTTTTTTCAAAGAATATTGCAATTAATTAATTTATATTCCTCATTTAAATTTTAGATGTACTGTAATGGACAGATTCAATTTAGGATACTGCACGAATTACTCCAAAAGTTTAAACTAAAACGAGCTGCCGGTTGCGTTGCATTAGCAAAATGTCAATAGCTATACTATCTAAGTCTATATTAAATACATGTTAACAATTTGATTGGCGTTTGTTGATTACAACAATAACATTAACAACAACAACAACTGCAACATTCTGAGCAGATTTTGATGCAATAGCAATAATGTTATTTTTATTGTTTTACCTGTAGTCGATTTTCATTAAAATAAAATATAACTGTGTAATGATAATAATTAAATAAAGACAGAAAGAGATTGTCTTATTGAAAATCAATAATCATAATTTACAACAACTTACTTCTTCGTCGGTGGCAAAGTCTCCGGAAAACGGCGAGCCTGGAGGTCCCGGTGGTCCGGGCGGTCCTCTGATTGACTCTCCCTGTCAGTTTCGAACAAATTTAGATCGTTGTGGACAATTCATTATTATTCTTATCATTATTACTGTTCGGTGGTAAACCTCAGATTCACTAATGAACAGCTGGTTGTTAAGCGTGTAACTCCAACGGTTCATTAGATCCGTGTGCGAGCACATAACCGTTGCAGTGTTCGCCAGACCGATTTGTAATAATAACAATAAAAAAAAATGAAAAAAAATACATTGAACAGTGACACTCACCTTTTGACCAGGATCGCCTTTGTCCCCTTTGATGTTGGGCGTCTGATAGCTATGGTTTTCTGTAATATAAATAATCTGAGTTGGTAGGTATACATAACTAATGACAACTAACTCATCAATTAAACATAGTTAACCTCAGTTCGAATGTTTTATTCGCGTGTATTGCTAACGCAACAGTAACTTATTAGTATCGTTGTTTTCAAATCGTTAAAAGTCCGTTTGTTGGGTGATTTTAATTTATTGGCCCCGACAAAATCATGTGTTATAGATAATAAAACGCCATCTTTTTTTACTTTCTTTCTTTTTTTTTTTTTTACGAAACAGTTTGGCACCACGACGATTGGAGAATGAAAAACAAACAATCGTTCTAAGATTTAGCAATTATAAACGCTTTTCTGGATTACACATCGTATTATTTATTATACATAGAATCTATCTACTACCTATGTATATTATATTATAGATTTTTGACAATTTTTTAGTTGTAATTTAAACACTTTTTAATTATATAATAAAAAATTCAATGTCAATACTTTTGGACCTTAAGATTTCTTTAAAAGTCCGTAGAAAGTGAAGGGAGTCGGTAAATCATGTACTAATAAAGTTATCCAGAACATACCGATGCATCGATTAGACAAAGAAATATAAACAGTGTAAGTCATGGAGTGTCTCAATCAAAATTGCTGTGTATGATCCCAATTTATGATACTTTAATTAAATCGTATACTAAAAATAATATGTATATAATATATATATATATATATATATAAAATATGGTCCCTTTGAATAAATAAAAATGCCTAGAGATATGACAAAGCAAAACAAATTAGAACCTATTGATAGGAAATAATATTTTTAAAGTGATTAAAAACATCACTACTACAACTTATAATAATGTAGTTATTTAATGTTTACTAGCCTTTTCATCCGATTAAATTAGTTATTGAACGGTTAATAATGTCCATTTATAAACTGGATTATATTAATTGATATTTTATTGATAATTTGGAAATGTTTAAATATTTTAATTAATTGTCGTTAATGTTTTATTTAAATTATGCATGTAATATTTAAAATAGTAATACATTTTTGCGTGCTCAATACATATAAAGATAAGTCAATTTTAAATGTTTAAGTAATTTTATAATTATTGCATTACTATGAATTTATGTCATTTAGGCACTTAAATATAATTTTTCAAATTCTGATTAATCATTAACTTATAAGATTTAGGTATTTTGTATTAGTAAATTTATGTTAGATGCATTTTTTAAAGTATTAACAGGGACTGGGAAAATAGAATTTTTTGTAAGCTATTGTTAAATAAAAAAAATTATACAATTTATTATACGTGGTGATTACATTAAAATGACTTGTAAAATTTCATTACCTATTAAATTATTTCACAAAACATAGTATTTGTTATTTACGTTTTACATTATTAATTTATGTATAATATGGTAACTCGGTCATGACAATCAATAACTTTTTTGTTATTTATTATAGTTGATATTTTTGAAATACATTCTTGGAAATTGTGTACGACATAATTATTCTATTTCGTGTTTAATGCAGTAGTCTGGATTTATTACGTGTTACTAAGAAATATTAATTTGAACATAATATTGAATTTAATTAGGCAAAATAACATTAATTATTGATTATATCTTTACTCATAAATCACGTATAATATAGTATCTACCTAGCAAGTTAGTACGCTCGTAGAACACGCTAGCCTTAATTGTTTGTAATATAAACTTTATGGGGTCCTCTGTTATTAAAATAAATAATGATATTATGTGTATAACAAAACACTAGTTATCTCTTGTCGGTAGGTGTCAAGGTAGTTCAATAATAATTCTTATACCGTGTCAATAATCAAATTGCATAGGTACGTTTAAATACATAAAACCATAATGGAGGTCTATATAGCCGATATTATCATAGTATAATGATATGTAAAATACAATATTGCTTTTAGATTCAACTTTATTTATATGTAAAATCTATGGGTTTATTAGTTGAGAACCTGAGCCATACGAGAATAAATAGAAATAGAAATATTATGCACTTACTCAAATAATGACAATAATGTAAAGGTTATATGCACATTGCATGTACCACATAGTAATTATTTTAATTTGGGGTGATCAATAGAAGGATAATATAGATTTGGACCAAATAAGTTGATATTGTTTTGCATTAATAGTAATATCATGCCATAAATGCGTTGATTAATGATACTGATTTTATAATAATATATTATAGTATGAAATCAATATTTTAATGATAGAATTTACATTTGTTCCACCTAGATGCCTGAAGTATTTCATATTCTTAACAGAGTTATGGAGTTTTCTCATTGACGGAATCATATTTTTCGGTACCAATAATGATGTTTAGATATGAATATATGATGATACTTCACATAGCCTCTAAAGACTGAAAACTAAACTCAAATAGTATTCAATATGCCTATATTATTAAACAATTATAATTGATGAAACACACTTCAATACTCTAACGTCAAAACAGAAAAATGACTGTAATAAAATCATCTATTTTATTTACTAGTGAACGAATAATTAATGGTTAAATTAAAATATATAACCGTTAGATTAATATTTTAGTGCCTATAGGTCAGGTTATTTACATATCAGAATATTTTACCGTGGATTTATATTTATACAAATCACCTGCCACGTAATATCATATTGAAATAGCATTATTTTAAGTGAATAAGAGGATCAAAACAAGGATACATCAAAAATGCATTACCTATAAGTCATGACAATGATGGTTTGAATGCCATAAAGGTTTAATAAATAATAAACAATAATATATCACTACTAATAGGCCCATACATGAGCATAGAAAAGAAACGACTTTTTCAAACGATGATTACGCTAATTGGTCTTTGGACAAACTTAAGACAAAGAATTGATATATAATATAGACTGATGAATGGGAATGATATACTAATACCTATAATGTGCGTAGATAAAAAAGTCCTGTTCACAAGTTATTATCCGAAAAGTCGCTACAGTTTAAAGGAAAACAATGTGTAAATAGTGTGATATCATAATAGGTAGGTAATGATTAGTAGTGAGTGTTTGTTGCACTGCCACAACGATGACAAACGATAAAAGTAAGTTGTTTTGTCTTATAAAAACCCCTTAAAAACACTGTTTGGTTAAAAATATAAAACCAACACCTGAGATAAATAAAAGAAGCAAACGTTGGACGATTTAAAAATAATTATATGTGATGTGACTCTGAGATATTGAATGGAAAATAAGGAATTGTACCTATTCAGTTTTCTTAACAAGTACATCGTAATTTTAAATAACTATATGATACACCTTAAAATAAAATAAACAGTCACTACAAGAGTGCGGTTTCAAATGCTAATTTTTTATTATTTCATTGCTAAGTAAGAACAACATTTGTTTCATGGTATAGTGATTGACAATTTTATATAACATTTATAAAGAGTGTATAATAAATATTATATTTTATTATACATATTTTGACCTTGTTTTATGGACTTATTCTATGACTTTGACTTCATATTTTATCTTTTAGTGTAAAATTTGTTCACTTCTCAAAAATTTTGAAAGAATTTCAATAATAACGTTTTCTGTCATTCTGTCAATACACACACACACAAAAAAAAAAATTATTCAAATTTTGGTTCTATATTTTTTGATTGTTATTGTAATAAATTTATATAAGCGTATCAAATACTAATAAATGCGGATTTTCCGAATAGTACTTTCTGCAATTACGAAATCTTAAATAATTAATGCTAAATACTCAGATGAAAAATTCAGATCTCTCACCATTATTTAATATTTATAATTAGGTAATGTTACAAGAAATAATTTTATTTTTTATAGTTTTTGAATGCATATTATTATATTATTTTTAGCGTATTCAAACTTTTTATTGCATATATATATTATTTATTAAACATTTTTAGTGTATATTTGGCTAGTGTTTATTGCATATAAAGTTACCAAATCAGTGTATAATCCTAAAAACTAAGAAATTATAAAAAATTGATAGAAGAATTTTATCTTATATTAGTTTTGAAATTTAAACAAGCAAAAAAGAAAAAGAAAAAACAACATTCAAATTTACATAATTATAAAATCAATTTGATGAAAAATGTATGCGAATATTTTTTTTTTAATCATTTTTATTTAAATACAAGTACTTAATATCTATATGGAATTATGAAATAAATCAAAAGTAAACTTAACATAAAAAAAAAAAAAAATGTTTTACGATGGACAAATAATCAGAATTATATGGACATTAAATGCGTTTTTACGAACTGTAATATTATGGATTTTGAAAATAACACATTGGGTTTAATATGTAATTAATAATATAGACCTTGATATTTGAAAAACAATTTGTTGGAATTATAAATATAAGCGTAGGAAAAATGTGGAAGTAATATTAGTAAAAGTTATTATACCTAGTGTACGTTACAATAATTTTTTATCCGGTGTATCATTTTAACCATGAATGTTACAGTGAATAAATATATATCTGGCAGATATTTTATTAAATAGTACATTAAGAACAATGCCTTTTTTTTTTTTTATTTCTGCTGTATAATTTGTGGATACATTTTAATTTATTTTTCTAGAAAGGGAATATTTTTCTCATGTCGAGCACATATGGATAATAATGATTGTACTAAATTGTAATGTTTTCAATTATGTTGTTAATAAAGTATACCTTGAATAGTTTAAAAGTACTTACGCATTTTAGAAATACCATTATACTTAATAACTTAATACTAAACAGAGCTGAATATCATAAAAAAAAATTTACCTAAATAAAATATTATTTTTTAAAAAAGTTTTATATAATAGAATTTATTATGCAATATTTTTTATAATAAAGCATGGTTTGCTTTAAACAATAGTTTTTTTTTTATATAAATTTATACAAAGTCATTGGTTTTTATGAACAATACTAAACTTGTGATATACTATAACCAGTTTATATGGTTTATGATGCATATTTGTATTATCATTTTTATTATTTGTGATTTTTTTGAAAAGCCAATAATGATATAGTTTTTTGTACGAAATACAAATGGTAGGGTATTTAAAGAACAGTGCACGGTTTAGTCACATGTCTTGACTATAGATTTATCATATTAACTATTAAAATTAGTGCAATAATATCATAAAAATTATAATATTAATGATTTTTGAATTTAAATTAATTTTCATATACGCATTTTAATTTTCAAAAAGATTCGTAGTATTCTTACGAAATAGAGTAACCATGTAAATTTACTATCCATATACATATTCTCGGAAAAACTTTTTGATTTTCGACAATGTTTACAGTGTTTAAATGTAAATATGTTTTTTGCTGACATAGTAACTATTCATTATATATTTATAGGAAAGATCAAAATTATAACTATAATAAAATAAATTATTTTCTCTACTCTTAATCCTACTATACTGCTGTAAATAAAATCATTAAAAGCGTTCTAAATTGTGATATAATTTTTATCATCTTGTAATGGGTGATTATTTTATCGAACAACTCTTACCTAGTTTTGGTTTGCGGAGTAGTAGACCAACATTTTGCAAAGTATCTCTTCGCATAAACTTTAAATATTTATATTATAGCTCATAAATTATCCATCTTAATTTCGATCTTTATGTATTGAAATACTTCAAAAATATTTTGCTTCAGAATATGAAATTAAGAAATATGTTGTTATTTAAAAAATTAAAAAATTAAATATATGATAACGACGAAAAATATGTTTTTCTAAAAATAATATTGTTTTACTTTGACTGGAAATTATGAAAAAAAAATAAATATTTTTTGAAACGTATTATAATGATAAAATAAGTGTGAAACTCGGGATAATTTACATACAATAAATAACTGTAATATAGAATATAGATGTGTTAAATTTCAACCCAATGATTAATTAATGCATACGAAAAAAAAATCTGTGCGAAAATTTACCAGTCTCAGTTTCTATTTCCATAAATATTTTATCTAGTTTACTATTAATATTATTATTTCTTTTTTATTCTGATACTGTAGCTCAAACTAAATTTTTCCAAAATCATTGTATGTTTTCTATTATTATTATTTTATGTTGATAAAATATGTTATTTATAAATTTATAGTAAAGAATTACGATTAAAATACTTTTTGTTAGTCATGTATTTTCATGAACTTCATCCGATATTTACTGTTTGATTTTTCTATTACTTTTTACCATTTCACTGTTAATTCAGTTAAAATAAAATATTAGAGTGTACTTTTTAACATTTAGAGCTAATCAAAGGATATTTTATTTAATTGAACATACATATTCAAAAGATGAAAAGTTTGTCAGTAATAATCAATATTTTTATTTTATCTTAATTAAAAAAAAAAAAAATAAAAACCTTTATTTAAAATGTATTCTAGTAAGTATAATAATCACCTAATTTTTTTTTGAAATAAATACACATAGATAATGTAATATATTTATTAAAATAATATGTGTATTGTGCACGCTGTAACCTAACCCGTAAACCGTAAGCCGTAAATATTACATAAATATTATTTGAATTCAACATTAATAGATGTTTAATGGTTTTGTTGATTCTGGAAAGTAAAACTAATAAAACTAATATGTAGTAAAAACAAAAATTACCGTTTGATGGCGGTGGTGGTGGAGGAGCAGGTGGTCTATCCGAGTAACCGGCGTTAGCTAGGTCTTCGGAGTTTTCTGGTTCCTTGTCATCGTCTGGCTGTAATAAAAAAATAAAAACATGTACGGTAAGTTTTATATGCTCAGCGGTAAGTTCTAAAACCCGGCTAGAAAATGAGAAATTAATTTACACAGTAGCCGGGGCGTTTTATGATAACTGTGGACTCGACATGATTTTAACGATTCTCGTGTAGAATCCGACTAACAGGTAGACTGAAGTGTTTGGCGGGGGGTTTTTTCTTATCAGATATTACGTGACCTGAAACTTGGCGTACCTCACACGAATAGAGGACGACTTTGGGCTTTATTGATCATTGGAGTGCATTGCGGCGGTGGACGGAGAATGGAACAATTTTACGATTCTAGATATGAGAACAATAATAATAAGGCATCGGCAACGACAACCGCGTCTGCTTATAAATATTTTAAGTGCGGTTACAATCAAAATGGTACGACAATAAATCATTTCAAGAAATTGAATTTGATTAAATCACATTCGAATAATGTACATAATGTATTTTATGATCCGCACTATTCAGTGGGTATAAAATGTTCGAATATTATAACATAGTATCACATCAATCGTGTATAGATGATAATAAAATATTGTGATATAGTTTAAACTAACGCGCTAGGCATTCAATTCGTACCGTCAACTCGTCTTTCAACTGTCGTTCAATCATCCCGAACGTATACCAGCAACCGACTGTTAATACATTAGCAATATGATTGGAATCCGTGCGCTTGTTAAATATATTGTGTTTGAAATTATATCTCTACTGCCGAGCAATAAATATGTGTATTTTTTTTTTCTTGTATTGTGATCAGTGCGTTTTGAAAGGAAGGAAGACGATTCGAACGCGCACTCAAAACTATAAGATGTCGTGGATATTTTAAATAATATGTTTTTAAATCACGACGGACATCTAAAGTGGCTCGTTGAATAAATCTGTGAAGGATGCGCTCTTCGGTCGCGTATTCGATGTTTGTATTCCGCTCTAGAAACGGTCACGTTGAAAATACAAGTGTTGAAAAAACAAATAGCACTTAACCATGAAAATATGTGGGACACGGTCCATACGTCGTCGTCCGTGCAGGGTTCCGCGCTACAGCACTTAACAGCTCTGAGTACGACTGTTCCGAGCATAGTTCGAAAACTGAGGCAATAATCGTTGCTGTGGCGGAAAAAGGGATCGGCAGGGCTTTTCGTGCTCGACATAATTCAAAAGGTTCATATTATAGTGTAGACGTTTCGCGGATGTTTGCGTGTTATATTTTAATATCGGTGGTAACGTACACGTGTCTAACGTTAAGATCTCGGCTGGTCTGACGCAGACAAGCGTATCAGAGTTGAGCATCCTGAAGGATACGGCGCTAACCACTTCGCTGTTAAATTATTGTACGGTTGCCGACGAAATGAGCAAAACGCGATATTGTATATTGTGATGGTATAATAATAATTGTCAATGGTGTTTAACGTTTAACAATCTTCATTAAAGTTTGGTGACCGTCATTTTTTTTTTCTATTCAAAATTACGTCATCGTTGGCGATGTGCATTTTTTGTGGTGCTTGTCAGACTAAATTTGGCGAAAATATAATTATAATTTTATCAATAATAGGTATATTCTAACATTTCTAACCGAATCATTGGTACACGTTTTGATGATGATAATATCATTGTAATAATATGGGCTATAGTAAATTGATAGGTGTATATTAAATTTATTGACTGTGATTAATCAACAACACCTACTAATATAATATAATAGAATTGCGTTGTTTTCATCGTTCGTTATTTTTTCATGATACGTTCGTCGAGTGTAAATATATAAATATATAACTAATAATTTGGTGTATTATTTTGTAGTGATATAGATGATTGTTGTCTATCGGCAAAAACAACTGTGATAAAACCGTATTTTCACGTTCTGTGGAATAAAGCGGGAAAAAGAATGGAACGGATTTGGCATGGTTTTCATTTTAAACGGTGAGTTCGCTAAGCCTTTCGTTTGATTTATAGTTCCAATATTGTGCCAAAAATAATTGACAAGGTCCTCGTTGAGCTCGTGTACATTCTGCAATATAAATGACTCGATCGAAGTGTCTCTTTCACTATTCCATTCCAGTCGCTGCCTTCGACGGATTGTCTTCCAAAAATACGACGAGTATATTTTAGCCATTATATGGTAGACCTTAACAATGATAAATTTCCAAGAAACAAAACACACCATCATGTACATGTGCAAAGCGTATTCCATATTTTTTTTCGTTACACTTTTGTTGTCCAATATATTATGTACAAGCAGTACAACTATATTATACGTATACTTTCAACAACCAAACGCTGTACATGTCTACGTTTTAATACTTCACCCCTCTCTCCCGTATTATACGATATAAAACAGATTGGCAATCCGATTTAAGAAAAATGAAAAAAGATATACATGGTGTGTATCAAATGTACATTTATATCGTTAATATAACAATAGAGGACTTTGTGGACTGTGAAATTAGATTATCGATAAGTTTTTGTTTTTTTTTTTTAATCTGTTTGAAGATAATATAATAATTGTGATTGTATATTGTGGATCGAACAATTTATTCAGTTTTAATTGATACACTACTAGAGAGTCATAATATAGAATAAAGTAAAAATTTACTGGAAAAAAAAAACAATATGCAATTTTAATAATGAAATTTTAAGCACAAATTGTTTTGTTATCTAAATCACGAGGAGAAAATGATAAGGATTAATAATATTTAACATTATACCTTCGATGGACAAAATACGTTTTGATTCATCGCCATGTTATTTATTAAAAACGTGTGTAATGTATAATAGACACGATGTTATTTACATTGATTTGACACAGCCCACGATATTGGAAGTTTAAACAAATTAGCAGGTTTTATTTTCCATTAGAATACGAAATGTAAATTGTTTGTTGTATTATTTAGTATGCTAAGTATCGGAATCGTTATAAAATTCCTTTTTTGCATTATAAATTGTATATAGTTAACTTTAAAATAAGCATAATTTGCAATAGGTAACCACGTTTTCGCCCGAATTAAATAGGATTGTCCGTATTCAAAATTGTACCGGATAAACGCTTTGTACATTTGTATTAGAACTCAAACCTAGAAACGCGTGTAATAGAGTATTATGATTGTATTAAGTTTTACTCCTGTGTTACAAATTGACGGCCATTATCATATTATACCTTTGTAAAAGTTATTTTTTTTTCGAACGGTCCTACTACTGTTTGTATTATTATTTATATGTGTTAATTATAATGATTCAACACGGTACACTAAGATGGGGGAGTTAATTCCGTTTCCATAATTATTATGGCTAAATGATTCAATTAAAATTATAATGCTAAAATCTTGAGTTACAACATAAAACCAAACATTTATGATTCGTTTATAATCTAATTCAACTTGAAAATTCATTAAAAATTAGTAGAAAGTACGTCGCCACTCGCCAATAAAGTATATTCTGTGTATACTTAACATAAGTTAATAATTATTTTCATTAATCAATGTTCAATACGTTTTAAATATAACACGTCTAGGTACACAAGACATTTTAATTGGAATTGATGTAAAATTGTCTGATTAATTATTTTTCACATATAGTCATAAATATTTTCTGTTCTCACTAACTAAAGAATTCTATTAATTATATATTAATACCATGACAATTAAATATTCAAGTAACAATAAAATCCTAACTTCTGATTGTTCAGTTAGGATGATAAATTGAAGCAATTACAATTTATTTAAAAATATTTAAATAGGTTAAATTACTTATACAAAAAACATTTAAGATAATTTATTATTTCTATTTTCATAATATGGCAGTGAAATAATTTAGTTTTTGTTATTTGAATACAAAAATTAAGTTACATAGTGAGTAATTTGGATAAATTAGATGTTAAATATTATTTATATATATATATATATATATATATATATATATAAGGTAATAAAACCTAAACAATAATTTAATCTACCTTAAGGTAATGCATATTTTATTTATGCACGAGAATTATTATTGATTATCTTCTTATTTAAACAAAACTATTCATATATCATATATTTTAAGTACTGCAACGTTATAATATTAACTAGTAACAGCATAAATATGTTAACCATATCATGTGCATCGATATTGTTTTCATATGCTTTGAGGCGTACGTTGAGTTTTATTTATTAGATAGATAAACATATATTTTACTGGGCAAGGGGAGTACGTGATGTTTTTTCACATTTCGTACTAAAAATTAAGTAGGTGAGTAGACGTTTCAGCATTTTGGCGGTCTAGGGGACCGGTGCGGAAAAGGTCCCAACTGTGTAGTTTTGAAACCGAAACATAAACGAGTAGGTTAGGAATACCTACTCGAAAATACCAGGAATTTTGTTTTTAAATATGTATTCCGATTTTCGACGTAGAACAGTGCCCTCGAGTAGCTTTAATTTTACTTTGAATTTACGAAATGCGTAGCGATCAAAAAGGTATAGTATACCTACGTATGTATAGACCATTATCCGACTTACTTCAATACTATCAAACTTGGTAGAATTGGGCTATTATTATTTCTTTAGTTTATATTAGGTACACAACTTTAATATACATTTAATTCTATTTTCAGTATTTTTATGTTCTGTAATTGTATGGCTCCAGACAAACAAATATGTATACCTATATAAATACTAAAAAAGGAAATGGTACAAAAATAATAATAATAATAATAATAATAACAATATTTGTAGTACTTTTTTCGTATAATTTGTGGTCACTAGCTAGTTTCCTAAAAAACGACAATCTTATTTAGAATACTGTGGATACAGAAACTTCGCTCAAACCGTGTAATCTTTATGGAGCTTTTATCTGTCAAGATATTTTTGAAATTTGTTTTCTTCCTTTGTTTAAAGTTTTACTATGAATGTCGAAATATATTATTATTATTATTTTATTTTTTATTTTTTTGGCATGAAAGAGTTTTGTGGGGTTTGGGCAGAGATAACAGAAACGA